GGCTGGGCTTGAACCGGCGACCTTGTGATTACAGGTACACGGCTTAGCCCACTGAGCCACATGCTGCCCCTTAAAAAAGAATAAAAGAAACTTTGGAGCTTTTCTCTCCTCTTGGACAACCTCAGTTGAACTAACATCAGGACAGAACCAACTGCCCCTTGAAAGGGTTGATTTGCATGAGCTCTGTTCCTCTCACCTAGTGAAAGTCCTCCCTGTTTCAACATTTTGTCTAAGGGCTGCTTTAATCTCATTAAAAAATCTGCCAACTTTTAACAAGTCTTCTGCTGCAGGGGCCTGAAGGCAACATGAAAATGCAGGTGCTAATTTTAACTGGATAAGACCAGTACTTATGAAGATGCATTTTCAAGCTCCTCTTCATGTTTCATTAGGGAGTTTTTGCAGTGCTATGAGCCAGACTGTAAGCTTATAATGGTGCCTGTAATTATTTTGAATTACGCTTTAATATTTGCGTGCACCTATTTGGTACTTGAGCAGGGGACCATTAGTGCAAGCAGAGTGGATCCTACTTTTTGTCTCGGAGGAGCCATTCGGAAAAGCGTTGACCGAGACCAAAATGTGGAAAGAAGTGGCTTCGGCAGGTTACAAATGGGTCGCAGCTCTCTGGTGCCACCCAGTGTTTGGAATGCGACTAACACTATCCAGGACGTTAACGGGAGTCTGGTTTAGTAGTGGTTACCATACGGGTAGGGGTTTACTATTGTATGTCACTAAAATAATCCCTGTATTATTTTGAGGGTTTCTAGTAGTCTCTGGGATAGTGAATAACACCCTGTGACTATTAGTGTATCTCGCAGGTGCTTAGGAGAGACTGCAGCAGTTGGGTTTGTGAAAGGCACTTTATAAATGTAACCTTTAGTTACATTTAGTCAGTGCAGTGTGGACATGATGGCATGTCCCTGAAATTAAAGGGAAATAGGGTTTCCCACTTGCTGGTGGACAGAGGAGTATCTGACTTGAGCTGGTGAATTTTCAACTATTGATCATTTTGTGGCTTATAGTGGTATGGTGACTGTCCTGTAGATGGTGCCCCACCAGTACCCCTGTCACAGCTGCCTTCCCACTGTGGCTTCTCTGTCAGACGGGCACGACGAGATGTAACACTGGTGGCTCCCTATAATGGCTGCCATGTGACCAGACAGGTGTGGAGTTACATGAAGTGTAAATGATGCACTTGGTGGAGAATGCAGTTCATGATTGTGGGTGAGGACAAGGGGGGAGGTCTAACCTTTCTGCAGCTGTGCTCAAAACTGGTTCATAACTGAGCCTTGAAAGTTTAGCCTTGTCTTATAGGAAATCTGCTTACATTGGTGACAGGGATGCATTTAAGCAGCATGACTTCTACTGGTGTGTGTGTGTGCGTGTGTTGGGGGGCTTGACATCTGTGAACAGGATGACATTGGTTTCATTGAACACATGTCACAGTCTTTATTGGTCATAGCCAAGTTGTGACTCCTCGGATCCCAGCATTAACCTCTAGGTTTTTGCTACAGTGAGTGGCTCATGGGAAACCCTGCTGGTAGTCTGTGAGAAATGTGGCTGTAGTATGGATCGTGGCCCTGGACAGCTGCTTATCACAGTTCCCTTTACCACACTCTGTGTGGAGCTGACGGTAAGCTGTGCTATTCAATATGGTGACTTGATCATTAACAAGTTGATTTGGGGGGCTGTCAGCTGGCATTGGTGTGGTGACAAGGCTGAAATGGTCATGCTTAACCTTGACAGGTGCCAGACATTCTGAAAGGAAGTAAGCATAGAACTTACTGAAGTAAATGCAAGGCACATGTTTCAGGAGATGCAATAGACTCTAGCCTTAAATCAGTCAGCTACTGAAATTGACAATTCTATAATAATAATAATAATAATAATAATAATTATAATACTACTAATAATAATCATAATCATAATAGGTTACATTTATATAGTGCCTTTCACAAACCCAAGGTTGCTTTACAGGGGGAGAGAGAAAAACTGTAATCAGGAAGAGACAGTAGAGAAATGTTCATGGAAGAGAAATGTCTTTCGTTCAGATCTGAAGATTTTCTATGAGTTGGCAATTTAGCCATGTAATGTTTTCTGAAATGTTCCACATTCTATTGTCATTATTTAGTCCTGGCACAATGAAGTTTCAAAATGAATTTCTAAATGCTCACGTGTGCTTGGGAATGTAAATAAGGATGTTCCCACAGGGAATGGCAAATGGCATGCATGCAATAGTCTTTCCATAGTTCTGATGTATCTACTAGATTTGTGGAACAAATGTAATTTCCTAAACTACACTGGTTTTCTCCTAGGACTCAGGCCTCACCTTGAGGCTGCGCTCTGCAGGTGGAAAGATGACCCTGGTGTGCCCTTTGACAAGTACTCCTACTCCAGCTACACTTTTGCTGTATTTCCCATACTATACCATTACTACTCCAGGACCTACCACTCTCCCATATCCAGTGTTCATTTTTTTCTGACAACTTGGGTTACAGATCAATCGTAGTGTTCTTGCAGGACAGAACTGGCAGGACACTTTTTAAAACAAAAGTTATCAGAACTTGGAAGTTAATCTCAAAGCCATTACTTATTGGATATGTTCCTTCTTTTAAATAGCACTACCCAATCAATCATACTTGGTAAGAAGTCCATTCCGATGGTGGTGCAGGAAGTAGTGCTACCGTTCGGCCGGTTCGAGCCCCGGGTCCTCCTGACACCCTCCTTGAGCAAGACACTGAACCCCAAATTGCTCCTGGTGAGCTGGTTGGCACCTTGCATGGCAGCCTCCGCCACCGGTGTGTGAATGGGTGAATGTGAGGTCTACATTGTAAAGCGCTTTGGTAAAAAGCGCTATATAAATGCAGTCCATTTACCATTCCAATTCAGTTCACATCTAAAGGTACTCTGTGTTGGCTGGGTGCACCTACCGCCATATTGGTTTCTTCGAAAAGAGAGTTTCCTGTGTAGCGCGTTTGACGTAGATGTGGGAGTGTTTCCATCATAAGAAATGAACTGCAATCGGCTTAATGCTTTCAGCGCTCGCGTAAGTTTAAATAACCAAGTATTTATTTACTGTTTACAAATTCAGCTTTTATTAGTCGTTTGTCAGCGTTTAGGCTATGTATGCTGGTGTAAGATTATGCTGCTAGAATACTGTCAGTGCGTTATTGTTTTATCTTAACCTGTTTTCAGGATCACTAATCCACGCAGATAATTATATTTAAAAGATCAGCTGGGCTTGACTGCAACCTTTCTGCCTAGCACGATAAATTCATATGTAGTATTAATACGACGGAGTAACCCCGTCACCGTAACATTAATGATCGCCTCGAGGCCTTGGGCATCATTAGCTAGCTGTTTTTGGTCGTATCATTTCAATTTGCTGGCCAAGTATCAATCCATCTTGGCACTTGTGCTGATGACCTCATCTGTCTCACACACATTACCGTTATATGTATCTCTGCCGCAAATAGTTATTTCTATTGCATGAACGTTGTCAATTGACATGCACATGTGTGGAAAAAAACAATTTTACTTGCAGCAAGCACGTTATTGGATGGTTCCGCGTACATGGGAAAACCCCCCTCGGGGGAAAAAATACATTGGGTAGCCTATAAAATCCTCTCAGTTAACTAACCAATCAGATACCGCGCAGTTATATAATAAGGGCTTCTATTAATACAAGGTGGATAAACCCGAATATTTTTATTAAAGCTATCTCGAAGTTATGTAGTATAAATACAACTGAAAACCGAGCACCCATAGCAAACATAAACTTACTTGCGTGTTATGCATTTGTATATGCTATATCACCAAGTGTATATGTAGGCATTCTTTTACTGCTGCCATTCTTAGTATTCGTGGCTATTATTGCTTTTATACATACAGTATAAAACATATATATTTATACATACAGTTTATACATGTATATCTATATATTTTTCCAGATATCAGCTTAGTCCTACATATATATAACATTTTCACATTTCCTCAGTAGTATTTTGAAATTTATGTATTAAATGCTGAATATGATTGGAATAGTGTGGAACAGCAAGCAAATAATTGTTTCAGTTGTAGCTTGTTATCTACCCCTATAGGTAAGGATGCAACTTTAAGGATTCTTGTTTTGTCTAATGTCTCCAAGGCTGTGGCAGACATTTTTTTCCAGGAGAGACCGTTCTGATGTCTCCAAAGAGCAAAGGAAGCCACAACTAATGGTCGATTTTAAGGTGTGTGGTTCACAAAAGGTAGATATTAATGTAATAATAATTCAAATATTTTTATTATATCTTATACATAATATATGTATTATTTCATTCATAAACCTCATATGAGCTTGGCAAAAATTAAAATAAAACATTTACCTTAAGTCAGCTATATCTTAGTTTCCTGTCAAATTGTGGTTGGTTTATGAATGTTATTTAAAAATCCCACCCTCCTTAATTTTACCAAACTTTTATAACTTTTGTTCAGGGCAACAAAGATGTGGAATTGGACAGGTGCACTCACACCTGCATGCAAATCCAAGACATACACACCCACCCTCCTTGCCCCGAGGGCCTGTAGTAATTGGCGTTTGCTTGTATCGGTGACGCACTTCTGTATCAGGTTGCTTAAATGTAGCTCCCCAAAGGCAGAAAGCCACTGATAGCAGTTGGGCTGCTACCTGATTCTGTCCTTCCTGTTTACCACCTGTCATCTACTCTTAGATTTTGATGATTAAAAAGTTGTGTGGGTTGCACTGTACTGCATAATGTGCTATAATGACTGGCATGTAGGGTGCTGTAGAAGGACTATTTTTTAATTAGCAGCTTAGTCTCATGCTGCTCTCTGTTCCCTGGGCTGATCTACCTCCTCCAGAGTAGCCATATTAGACCTACGTGATGTGTGATGTTAATATCGACATAGTATGTTATGCGCATGTAACTGCCACATCACTAGGACAGCCATAGTCCCCTGGATTGAGATTTGGCTTGGGCGGTATCTGATTTTTCATACATGGCAGACCACAGTTTATGGTGTTTTGATGGTATTTTCAAAAGCAATAGTGTAGTGGTATTTCAGTATACTGCAGTATACCCAGGAAAATGAGAAGATTGGTCATTTTTACACTGTCAATAATTTTCTTTGCTGCAATATTTGAAGTTTTTCCAATATCATCTTCCTAAAGACCTGCAGTTTTTTCAGGGACGGGAAGTAACCTGTGACCGTATTTGGTGATGTCGCCACTGGCTGTTTACCTTTACTTAACTCTGCATTCTGTATGGAATGCTCTTTCAAGGAGTCTATATCTCGCTGCAGTCTAGCAGTGTTTCTGGAGGAGGTCCCTGATCAGCCAGCAGTAGCCATTAGTCACAGAGCTCTGCACCTTCCTGGTGGAGTAGCCAGTCAGAAGCTGATCTCACGCCGCGTTCACCCTGCTGGTGAATGCTGTCGGAATGGCTGGCTTCTCTGGGGTACGGCATGGACTCTCAACGGAGCATGTTTGCCTGATTGTTTTTCTTCTTTGCAGATGACCCTGATCTGTAAGTCTGATATGGTGGCACTGATGGTAAGCTGGCTATTTATATTTGTTTGTTTTTTTATCAGGAGGCTCCCAGTAAACTCTCCACTGCACATTGTGCCCAAGATAGTGATATGAAAATATCACTATTCATTTATTCTGGTGGTTTATGTTAGGAAGAGATGGCACATTGGTCGCAGTAGCATGGTGGATTACTGAAGCAGCTAACGAGCAGTAATGACGAGTTCATGAAACTAGATGAGCAGTTCCAGTGGGCTCACATTGCTTGTTTGTTCTATTAATCTGTATTAACTTAACTATCAAAAGAATAAATAAAGATGGGCTTACTTCCATTTGGCCTGGCCTGTTCATTATCACATGTAGAATGGACCTGTTCATTATCTTATCATGTACGGTTAAATGGGTATTCATGATTTGTGATACTGAGTAAACTTAATGACAGGATGAAAAGCTGTAAACGCCAGCTAGTTCCATGGCCATACAAGGCAATTATTTAGTTTGCTGATTTACTAAGTTTTATGTAAACTTTTGGCAGCAGAATTCTGGAAATCAAATGTAAGATTCACCAGTCCTGGTATACTCATTGTTATTCAAAGTGTATAGCACATAACACAAATAAAAGCAATATAACACAAATAATTATTGGGAATATTTTCATAAACAAAGAAGATGCTTAAACAAGCATTACTCATTCAGCTAAGGAGGTATAGCTTATAGTATTTGTTCGCCTGTGCGAGCTACTCATTTGTTTACAACACATTTAATGCATGTACATGTCTGTATTGTTTATTTAAGATTTAAGATAAAATTTGAACAAAAAAGGACTGGTTCACTTTAAATATGCTATGTAGCTGAAATCTAGCCTTGCTAATTAAAAGCTGGAACTGTAAGCTGAGTAAATGACTGATTAGCGGTGTCTGTGCTAAGCTAAGCACAGAGCTCTGGAGCATTTGTTTTTGCGGGCTCACCAGACTCGGAAATCTCCCTTAAATCTCCATGCCATCCCTCACCACCCCCCCTTAACTGATACCACCGTGGTGTCATGGCTTCCCCAGCGCTGAGCTGCGAGCCGCAGAAGGCTCAGGTCGCAGAATGAGGCGAGGGAGTAGCCTGCAGAGTCGACGCAGCAAAGTGGTGAAGGACTCTACCAAAAGCAGTTCCCATGATGCACCGGTGCAGTCCACCCGGCCACGTTCCTCCTCGACTGACAGTGCGTGCAGCCCCAGCCTGACTGACACACTGCTGGTCCCCAGTGACGAGGCAGATCGGGTGAGTCCCAGAGAGTCAGGCAGAATGTTCTAGAAGAAACTTCAACCAGGAGAGCAGCTGCTTCTGGCTGAACTGTTGTGCAATACTCACCAGTACTTATCTGGTGCTGATGCGGTACAGCTCCTGTTTTAAGAGAGTAATTTGTTTAACATTTTTGCTGGAATTTGTACTTAAGTTTGAGATGGATGGTGTTGGACTATTGAATTATTAGATTTGTTGGTGCAGAGTTATATACCAGTAACGTCAGTTTGTACAATTATGTAATGACAAATATGTTAATAAGTTAAAGAGGAAAACAACTTAAGAATTTTTTCAGCCGTAAGGTAAATGTCTTGCACATTTAGTTATAATGGTAAGTACAAATTTAGTTCTAGTACTGATGATTGATTTATATAATTTAATATAATGCCAAAAAATATACTGGAATTCATTCCTCCTACCATCTGCTGCCCAGAACAAGCTCATGAGGAGCCTGGTGCCCATCCCTGGCAGCATATGGCACAAGCCTGGGATGCCAGCCCATCACAGGGCACATACATGCACATGCTTGTGGGCAATTTAGAGAGTTAATTACTTACCCAACTTCCTTAGCTGTTACTAGCCCTGGCTGAGGTAATTCAGTTAAATATTAAGTGATTGACAGTTTCATTCTTAGGGTCATTATCGAAAAATATGCTTTACCTTGAAAGTACAATAGCATTACATAATACAAGAGGAATATAATAAGCATGTATAAGTTTATATGCAGGCAGAATAAATTCACAATTTTTAAATTTGCATTGAGTAAATAAAGTGGCTAAACGGCATCACATTTATAAATCTCACCTAATAAAATTACTTGCGCCTTCTCAAAAGTGCAGTTTTCAAAGTTGAAGAGGGTCTGTTTCCATATAATACATGTTCTAATACATATAGAACTGTTTCTCACCCATCATAAGCCATCAGTCCATGCATCTCAAAGTCAAGGTTATGTGGAGCCTGGAGCCTAATACAGGCAGCTTAGGGCCCCAGGCTGGGGTACAGCCAGGATGGGATGCCAGTCCATTACAGGGCACGTACACAAACCCACACCCAGTCTCAGACTATGGGCAATTCAACACCCAATTAGCCTCACTGTTAACCAGAGGAAACCTATGAAATCGGGAAAATGTGCAAAATTCGCACACAGCAATTCAGAAGTGAGATTCGGTTTTCTTTATGCTTGTAGAACTGGGTTTGTGGTTTTGGGAGTGGAATGTTGAGAGGTTATATGCACTGGCGGTTTATACTGGGTTGGACTTTTCGGGTTCTTTGCCTCTCCCCCCAGCTGGAGCGACCCGATGCGAGTGGCCTGGCCCCGTTCCCCAGCCTCCCAGGCAGTGGCGCTAACGGCTTGCCACACCTAGATGACAGCATTGATGGCGGCACTCTCGACCCTAGGCGCTCCCGGAGGGTGGTGGCCCAGTTGCGACAGAAGATCCTTAAGCTGACTGAGCAGATCAAGGTGGAGCAGGCCGCACGTGACACCAATGTGGCCGAGTACCTGGAGCTGGCACATGGGGCGGCTGACCGGCAGCAGGCCGCGCGCATCAAGCAGGCCTTCGAGAAGAAGAACCAGAGGTCTGCGCAGGGCCTGCAGCAGCTGCAGAGCAAGTTGGAGCGCTACCACCGCAGGCTGTGCGAGGCGGAACGAAGTGGCACAGCCCGCCAGCCCAATGACCCTCCGCTGGGCCTCAGGGATGCAAGTGCCAGGGCAGCAGGTGGCAGCAGCTCCCAGGTCACCACAACGACCAAGGCCAAGGAGAACGCCTTGCTCATTCAAGACAAGTTCAGCAGCATCGACAACATCGCCACTTTGAAGGACGCCCCTGAGGAAAGTAAGGTCGAAGAGGGGGCCGCTGCCATATCCCCCCGGCCTGGCCCTTCCTACGATAGCGAGGACGACTGTTCCAGTGCCACATCTGGATCTGCGGGGGGAGCTGACAGCACTACAGGCCCCAAGGCATACGCACAGATCAGTGCTCCGGGCCTGGCCTTTGAAACACTGCTCCACGAGGTACGGGAGGTGCGGGATGCCCAGGGCCGGCTGGTAGAGTCCCTGGAGAACCTGAAGGCCCACTACCATCGAGACTACACCTTCATCATGCAGGCACTACAGGAGGAACGTTACAGGTAGCATAAGTGATACAGGTAGGAGTGCTTTTGGTAGGAGCATTAGGGGAAATATGAAAAAGGTAGGAAGATGTCAGGGTTCCCTGATACGTAAGACGTAGAGACTGCCGTGTGGTTGTACGGTAGGTGTGTAGTGTGCACAGAAGATCTGAAGATGTCCACGGGTCCTTCTCCACCCGCAGGTGTGAACATCTGGAGGAGCAACTGAACGACCTGTCGGAATTACACCAGAATGAGATTTTCATCCTGAAACAAGAGCTGGCCAGCATGGAGGAGAAGGTGGCCTATCAGTCCTATGAACAGGGCCGTGATGTCCAGGTTAGGCGTTTGATAATTCAAAGCATGTGAAATATCTACTACTAACTGATCATCAACATAAATGAATGGATGGTAAACCACCTTCTCATCCTTTTATTCCCCCTGAGCTTTTAATTATTTTTACTTTTTTGACTTCTTATACATTTATATTATCACCAAAATCAAGTATTTCAGAAGTTTGTAAAAACACACTTTCTCTGAAACTACTTCAAAAAACAAATGTAAAACAACGTAATGAGACACCCTTAGCACCCCAGATACAAACTGACCTTTACACAGTGGTTAGTGAATAGTTTGCTGTTTTAAAAAGACTTGGATTGTGGTCAGCAAACATGGACTTGCGTGGCTTTCTTATCATGGGTTCCAATGGCGAGCTTTGTCATCTTGTTCACTATCTTCCACGAAGGTTGACGACAGCTAGTCTAAATGTGTGGACACAATCAGAGTTTTCTCTTAACTTTGATTGCTAGATAAAATAGTAAGTTGTTAAAATGAGCAATATAATGTAATCCATACAAATTGCCAACGTGAATGCAAATCTTAATTAACACAAACATAAATACTATTTTCAAACAAGAAGCTTAGGATGGAATCCATGTATAGTTCATTCTTTGAATTTTCTGTTTCAAAACCAAAATTCCAAGTTGGCGCTGCTGCTTGTGGTCAAACAATCAGCAAGCTATCACTAAAGACCTCCGCAGTCGTTTGTGTTCAAATGACAAGTACCTAGTCTGGAGTAGGTACTGAAAAAAGATTTCAGAACTACCTCAGAGGAACTGCAATCGGGCTGAGTTCCAGAGGTGTGAACACATCTATATATAATTATATAACAATATTATATGTCCGAATGCTGTTTTTTTTTATTTTCCATTTTCATTTTGAAACAATAAATTCAAAGAATGAATGATACATGGATTAGGTTGTTACTTTACCTTGACAGCGGTATCTGACTCAATCAAACTGCAGCACAGACTATCTTCTGGTTTCAAGCGACAGCTATCAGCATGATGCTAGGGCTGCATGATTAATGGTTTTTCAGTTGCCATCTCGATTCCTACCCCTATTCTATTTCATACTATTGTGATTTCACTTCCACAGTCCCCATGTGATCGCATTCTTATATGACAACAATTCTGCTGTGCTTGCATTAGTGGGGAGATCTGTTGCATCAAAGAAAGTGTTCCTTTTTTTCCCTGAGCAGCATCAATAAATCATAGGATGTGACAGGAAGAGGGGGCAGAAAAACAGGTGTTATAATAAAGAGCAGACAAGGTTTATGTTTATATCTAGCATTTGGAAATGAGTTGTTTGCTAAAAACCAGGACTGTGGCCTTTCTGCTCTGCAAAGTTTATTTAACAGTCCCATTATATTGTTATTGGTACACTGATTTGGAAATTCTGACCAATACAGATCATATAACCAATATATTTTTCAATAATATGGGGTGGGGGGAGTGGATGTCATGCTTGTATATGTCAAGGGCCAGGTTGAAAACAGGGGACCCAAATGAAGAGCACACAGGTAGCCAAAACACGAAATGAGAACGTTGGGGACGGGTACTAAGGTCAAAAAGCTAGGGAGACATGAGGATATCGGCACAAGAATACAATAATGAAGAACTATATTGCTCAAGGATTGTGAAAGAAAATCACAATCTTGATTTGGAGTGGAAAAAAAAATCACGATTCATATTTAACTGAGAATCATACAGCCCCAGTTGGCTAGTTCCAAACAAAGGGTGGCAGGCAGGCAGTTTTGATGGAGATACTAGTTAAATTGATGACTTAAAAATATTTTTTCATTGGTCAATTACATGTGAAATGCTGTCAGTAGATGGAGGAGAATGTGCATGTTCCATCTATAGTAAAATGTTGCAATTGTAAAAAGTGGACACGGCCGTTCATTGGACAGCGATGATTCATTAATACACTGCGGGGTTTTGATAGCGCTTTATTGGAGGATTGGTGGCATGGCCATTTTTCTCCCCATCCTCCAGGAGGCGCTGGAGGCCTGTCAGACCCGTGTGTTTAAGATGGAGCAGCAGCAGCACGTGGCTCAGCAGGAGGACCCGGACAGAGCTGCGGCACGGACACTCCTGGGAAAGCTGGTCGGTGCGCTGCTGGTTGCCATGACAACTGTGGCCGACTGCCTGCCGCCCCTCCTGCAGACTTTCGGTCACTCCAGCTGCGCACTCTGCCTCCTCCTCCTGCTAGCCCTGCTCTGGAGGGGTTGGGACTTTACTTCAGAAGCATGAAGCCCCTCTTTGCGATGCCTGAGATGACCAGGACTGGCTGTTATTTAAGAAGGGAAAGATGGTGACAGTGGAATCTGGTGACATCCTACTAATTTTTCAAGAAGTGATTTGTTTACATTTAGGAGAGGACGGTTTTTATTACTAGTTTAGTGACACTGTTTATTATAATTATTGTGTTGAAACTGATTATGTGGAAGGTTCCTTTTTTCCACCCACTTCTGTATGTCGCCACCCTTAAGTTCTCGTTTGCCATATATTTCCTGTTCCCTTTTTGCCCTCTTCTATTATTTTGCCCTCCATCTTCCTGCACCTCTTTTTCTCTTCCCTCCCGTCTTAGCAGAAGGAGCCAGCAGCTTTGCTGGGGCAATGGGGCGAATTCCAGGCGGTGGTCGCTGTTACAGCAGGAGGACAGGAATGACACGTGAAACCTACTTGAAGAGCAGAATGCTCACTCTATGCTTCCTGTCAGATAGCCCTTTTATTTTTTTAAGAATAAACCTGCTGTTGTTTTTACTTGAAATGAGTAAATGTATGTTTTTCTTCTATTAAAATGCCACATACATGTCCTAAGAATTAAGGAATGGCAGACTAAATTCAGTATTGTCGCTCTTATTCTCTACTACAGTAAGGATTTGTTGTGGGAACCTGACATTTGGAACCATAAAATAGCAGAAACATAACATTGCTATACTACACAGGTACAAAATGATTTGCAGGCTACTTTATTCAGCTGTTAAGTCTCTGCTGCAGATACAATATAATACAAATCTTTGCAAATAGATGCACCTATTGAAAATTTCCAGGGAAAAAAAAAAGTGTCCTATGCTTTAACTATTGGAAACTACAAACGTTTCAGTGATAACTGAACTACCCATTTTGTGTGAAACGTGGCAGAGTGTGTGGCCTTTTAGGTTAGAACTCACGTCCAAGCATGTGGTCACTGGTTAAGATCCTACAGGCAAAAGTGACTTTCATCACTGGGCCCTTGACCACCCATTTGGATGTTGCTTTGGGAAAAAACATTTGCTCCGTGTGAATGTAAGAGATCGACAGAACATTGAGAAAGTACTGCATTTCCACCTTGTGTATACTGAATACACAAGGTGAAGGACTCCACCAAAAGCCGCTCAAATCTTGTGTTCATTATGCTAGTGATTCCAGGTGCAGTTCAGGATACCAATCAGGTCAGCAGTTTGAAATGTTGGGCCCCAGTTACTCCAGGACCAAGTGGCTTGACTGTTCAACTCTGAAAAATGTAAGCCAGCATGAACAGGGTTCTCAACCACTTGGTTGATATCAGCAATACTCAATGGCACCACATTTATAGAATTCCACCAAGAAATTTCCCCCAATTATGAACTTTCCAGTAGGAAGCTAGGTATGGAACGTTATGCTTTGTAGAATTCACCCCAGGTTTGCACTGAGCACTCAACCTACAGCCTATTTATGGAGGACAGTCTGAAATTTAAGACTCCACACCTGTCAGTACTAGTTTGGTCAACTTTAGTGTCCCCTTGGCTTTCATAGCCCACATCTACCCTCTAAAAGCTGGGTAGGAATGTTTCTGCTGGATACAGCAGCTCCAGCCTTTAAGGCGAGCTGCCATCTATGGCCTTCATGTAAACATATGCCATTCTGCAATCACAGAACCACATATTCAAGCTTCTAGACAGCAATCCAGTATTTGACTGCAGTCAAGTACTCATCTCAGGCAGCAAAACTAGCACACACCAGGACAACTGAACAAACATCAGATTTAGAAGTTTATTCAAAGTTAGAAAATAAAAAACAAATAACCCAACATGCTAAAGTTACTTCATCTTTCCACGTTTAGAGTTTTTGCCTGCAGGGGCACCACCGTCCTCCCCAGCCTCACTAGGTTGGGTCTGCACTGGCTTCAGAACCTTGTCCTCCTGCTTTTTTCCCCCAGCAGGCTTCTTGGTTTTAGGTTTCTTAACAGGAGCCACCTTGGAGCCAGAGTCCTCTGGAGATACTGAATCCTGTAGAAATAGAACGTTAGCACTAGCGATCACTGGAAGAATGGCCACATTTGGAGCAACCCACCTTTGCGCGCTTGGGCTTCGGTTTCTTTGCAGGCTTTGGCTTGTCAGATGCTTTAAAAAAATAATAAAAAATAAAAATAAAAAAAAGTACAGGTCATACAAGGCAGGTTCTCACATGGATTAGCGGGATTATTACCTTCTGCTTTTCCCTTCACCTTCTTCACAGGAGCCTCAGTTTTTGGAGTCTCTCTGGTATTAGGATCAGAGTTCTCCATTGACTTTTGGGAGTCTTTTGGTTTGTTTTTCGCAGGAAGCTATGGAGTCAAACCTTATCCTCTTTCACAAAATCAATTCAGGGCACAAGTACAAAGAACAGTGCAAGAAAGGGCAGACAAGCGTTTAACAAGAGGTACTATACAACATGGCTGTGTAAAAGTATTGTGCAGTTATGCATTAAAGGATAATGTCAAATACAAAAGCAGTAGCAATACATACTTACCCAGGCTGTATGAACATTTGCTCTACATGGCAAAAACACCTATAAAGCGATGCAATCCAAAGAAAACGGAGGGAATGTATAGTTCGTAGCCACTCACCCGGAACCTCCCCTGTGCGCCAGTCGCTGAGGAGTTTGGGGGTCTAACCAGCGCTCCGCCTTCAAGTCCTTTAATTAAGGCCTTGCGCAGCATGTGTTTAAACCTGACAGCGTCCACGGAGGGGTATTTCTTCAGTATGTAGCCTCGTATGGCTTGGACGGATGATCCTTTACGGGAATCCAGCGCCTTAAGCGCCTCTTTAATCATCTCCAGCGTAGATGGATGGGCAGACATCTTCCTCACGGCTGCTGCGTTTGTGGGGTTCCCGACATCTACATTAGAACAGGTGGGCATATGCATTTAGAGGGAAACAAAAAAAAAAAAAAAAGTAAAACGTTCCCGATGATTGGGTCCTATACCAGGTTCAGCCACTTCGGCCGTCTTGGTCTTCTTCTTGTTGGTAATTTCATCGGCAGCTGGAGAAATACTTTCTTCCGAAGAGGTTGTGTTAATTACAGGTGCCTTTCTCGGAGGCATTTTTAAGATGAAAAGGTTTTTAAAAGTGCCAGCTACTGTGGTAGCGATCTATATACTTTTTTTTTTCTCCCCCCAACTAATTGCAAACATGCAGCAGACCATCCTTTCACTTCCCCGGTGTCCAGATTTATAAACAGCTAGTTCCCGGATCCACTAATCAATAATAACCATCAGCTGGTGCAGCTGACGATATTCGTTTTAAAAAAATCGATCAAAAAACAGACATTGTAACGACTAAGTTTTGAATTATAAAGTGCTCCAGTAATCGATGAAAGACAATCGGTTCGTTTAAATTTAAACTGTAGGCACGATCAGTAGTGTGTGTGTTTCTGCGTGTGTAAACTTTATTTCGCAAATTCTTGAATAAATTAAGTCGTTTATGATACATAAATGTTTTACATTAAATAACAGTTTAATTTTAAATTAATTGGACAGACTAGTTAGACACAGGATAAGTACAGTAGTCTGTGTTTTAATAGGCTGTCAGTGGATGCAACTAAGTTGTTAACTGATGAATGGACAGTCTTGATCTAAAAAATGTTCCATTCATCTATCCATTTACCCTGGTAATCTTAATTCCATTTTGTCATGTAATTAACATTTCATTTAAACTAACTGATACTCATATTGAAAGACTCACTTGTGTCAAAATCTCTTGCCACACCCCCATCTGAATGGTGCAAGAAATTGCACATTTGTATGCGTCACCTTAATGTTTCTCAATTCTGTCTCCCATGACGCACCGTCAAATATCAACGTTCAACCCAGTTGCGCACATAAAATATTTATGTAAAGAATCATATGTTTCATAATCAGATCGCTGTCTGATGAGCTTCCAAATTCTTTTGACATTGCAAAAACCAAATAATAATAACAACAATGTTTTGTCAATTTACAACACATATCCTAAGACCCCCCTATACAGCTTCACTATGAAAAACCGGCTGAAAACCAATTATAGAAGAAGTCTATATGTCTTCTTTAAATAATGACCTGTTTTACTTTAAGATGCAAATCTAAATGTGTATTGGGAGACTTAGAAACTTTTGTACTTTTTTGTATTTTCTGTCATAAACAGTGTAAATGTCTGAAAAGAATCTGGCATGTTAGCACATTTAAAAAAATATATATTTATTTAAGTCTTTGCAGACAATGCAGACAACACAGTTGTACTTGCTTAATTCATCATAAGGATAGCTTTAAGACAAGCAGTGTTATACATAGTAGTTTAGTTACCATCAGATGTGTATTTAGTGAGAATTTTATCTCAACCAGTTTTAATTGACATTGAAGGCATAGTAAAGTAATGGATTAAAATGTACTAAGATTCAAATCTTCAACCATCTATTCTTAAATAGTGTGTACCATCACTGTGACATGTACATTCACTAAGCAAATTAGAAAACGAGTTTCTATCTGTCCTTCAAAATACACCTGACAGTACAAATGCCAAAAAGCACATTTCAGATCTTAAAAGCTTAACTAAATTATCTGGCCAGCTTGTCATATTCACTGCAATATCAGCAACATTGTCCTGAGCCTGGATGGCATAGTGGCTCAGCAGGTAGCAGGACTCTGTTTGTGGGGGAGTTTGCATGTTCCTCCGCATTGTGCAGGTGGCCTTCCAGTAATCAGATTTCTTCCCACAGTCCAAAGACAAACACTTATGGTAATTGGCATTTCTGAATTGCCCATAGTGTGTAAAGCTGGCATCCTGTCCAGGGTGGACCCCCGCATGTGTCCTATACTACTTGGGACGGGCTCCAGGCCCCATTCCCTCCGCAGAACTAGCTAGGGATAAGCAGGTGTAAGAAGATGAATGGATGTCCATGTGAATGACGTCTTATCACATCATGGGTTTTTCTCCTTCATTTTTGTCCAGGGTATGTTTAAAAACTCCATAAATTCTACATATAAGAGGATTCTAGGAGCAAAAAAAGTGCTTTTCAGTGCCAGGTTCTCTGAATCTCCCTTACCCCCATGGGAGACCCATATCACCTTAAGTTCCTCCCTCCGGTCTTTCATACCCAGTGGGGCATTCGGCAGGGATTCAATGGAATCTCCTCCCAGAGGTCTCCCGGCCTACCAAGTCCCAGGGCCAGGGCACGGGAGCCCGCCCTCAACCGGCATGCTCGACGCCTCCTGCTCTGTTTCCCGCAATCCCCCATGAGTTCAGTGAGAAAGGCTAGGCTTTGAGAGGGCAGGCTGTAAAGTGGGATGCCCTGGAACAGCTCGGGTAAGCAGTGACTGGCACCTAGGGGCAGTGGGGGCAGGGATTCAAAGTGCGCTAAGACAAAGCGCTCGCCCGCCCGGCCCTGCAGACAGTCGGCCAGGATGCAGCTGAGGGAGGCGCTGAAGACGTCAGCACGTGCAGGAAGGCCACATGGGGGTGCTGTTGAGTCAGGACAACCTGCTTTTTGCCCACTGCGTGCCCACTCTTGGGCTTGCCTCCAGGCGGCACTGGTGATCACCAGGACGACTTTTCCACTGCCGTGGCGCTGTAGCCAGTCAAGCCGCGAGTGCAGCCAGGGCACGGGGCCAAGTGCACTTAGCTCAGCGCTGCACCACAAGTCCAGAGACACGGAGAAACCCAGCGCCGATAGGGTCGAGCCCAGCCGGCACATCAGCGCTGGGAGGGTTGGATCTGGGTCGGGGGGGCAGAGTAAGACCACTTTCCCACCATCAAGGGCACCTAAGAGGCAGCAGAATGGGTCATGAATAACTGTGAAGCATGTCTGCATGTGAGCAGTGGGATTCAGATGCATGACCTCACCTCTCACATCACTGCCTTTGAACCACCTCCAAGCCCAACCTGTGAGAAACACCAGAAATAAGTCACCTTCCCTTAACTACAGAGCAAGGCCTGCAAGGAATGGGTTACAGTCTTGCTGAGCACTGAGAAGTATTCTAGTATATAAAGTGTACATGTGGATCATGAGGTCTGTAGGAGTATATGCTTATGAGATGTGTTAGGGCGCTTTTCCACTGCACTAGGTACTGTACTTTTGGTACTTCGAGATGGTAGCAAAATTACAGTACTTCAAGGGGTTAGTTTTCCACTAGTGTAAAAACTGGTACTAGTGCCAAATGACATCACAATGCACATTTTGTAATGAATTCGAAAAACGGCTATAGTATATTATATGGCTGGACTATGTTCAATATTAATATCAACATTGTATGTTACAGACAGGCAGTTCTTACATCACTAATAAGCTAGATTAAGATTGGTCTTTTTCTTACTTTCAATTCTGTATATGGACATTATAGCGCAGAGGGTTAAAGTTTCACTAAACTATTTTTACTCTGTCATAGAAAAAAATTTAGTAAGCTTTGAAATTTTAATTATTATTCCTTTTATAGTTTACCTAGTATATGTATAAAAATCAGGTTAAAATTTACCTTCGCTGCTTTTGCATGAGCGCTGCATGCGTTCTCCAAAACAATCATAATCATTTTCATCTTTGCTGTTTAAATCACTCGAACAGGTTGTGAGAAATTTATTAACTAATTTTTTTGTTTTATAGATACCCCAATATTTATTACAACAACATCACATCACTATATCTACAATGCTATATTGTATATTAAACAAAATAGCGTGCTGTCCCAGTATATTTAACAAAATGGTTTTTTAATTTATTGTCATACCATCCTTATCTTATTGCTGTATCTGTTCTTCCGACCACATTGCAGTTTTTGTTTTTACTATGTTTATCGTAGTTTTTTGAGTTTGCAGCTGTTTTCAAGGCAACATTTGTATTGCGTTTCAGAGGCAGGCTATTTGCATAAACAATCGACAAAGAAAGTGTTTCAAGTCCCATCCCAAAGTACCACTGAAATACCCCAGCTGGCTTGGCACTTTCGGTACTGGTACTCAACTGGAAGTCAATGGAAAAAGTGAAAGCACCAAAAGTACCGTACCAAAAGTACGGTACTTGGTGCGGTGGAAAAGCGCCCTTAGTGTTGTAGTACTTGAGACTGGTCTTGGTAAAAATTGAGAAATTTCAATAGGCACAAGTAATTTTCCCTCATAAGAAGGATGATATCAAGACCATGCCAGCATTTACACATCAAATTATGACATATCTGAGCTGCCCAGAATGTCCTGAAAACAAAATCATAAAGCATCTGGGGCTAACTCATGTACATACAATGTAATAAGTGTAAAATCAAAGGGATAGAAAAATGCTCAAAAATGGATAGGGTTTAAAGGGTTAACACAATACCGTGACTGAATGTAAAACATCCTGTTTCAAAATTGAAATGTAACCAATAAGGTGTGTCTTATTTGAAAAAATGTTACATTTGAAGAGAAGCATTTATATTTAAATTTTAAGAAAAAATGTCCATGGTTCAGATTATACTGTAAGACAAATTTTAGGCCACACTGCCTAACCATGATGGTGCCTGTGTTCTCCACTTTTTATAGGGTGTTGTAGACTCAAACACTAGTCTGTTTCTGATCTTGACTTGGTCTAGCCCTGCCATGGTCTTGATTCTTGTCATAGTCTCGTCTTGCCTTGGTCTTGGTCTGGTCGCGGTCTCGATACACTCAGGTCATGGTAATGACTTGGTTTCGGTTTAGTCTTGACTACATCACTAGAGTGTGTCTTTGAGAAATGCCTGTGTGGCGTGTGTAAGATGCATTTGAGTATGTGTGAGATACACACGTTTGAGGGTGCCCTGAAGCAGGTAGAGTCCAAACATGCCCAGGCAGACCACGAGAACGGCGAGGAGCACAGCCAGGGTCCAGCGTCTCCGGGAGTCTGAGGGGCAAGAAGCCACGGATCAGACTGATGTGATACAGATCTCTACGGCAAACACATCTGTGAATAGGTTGCTCTTTAATCTTGAAAACCAAATTCATCAAATCAAGTCACTCTGGATAAGCAGAAAAGTAACACACTGCATTAAATCATCCAAATGGAAAAGTTCCATGTCAACAATTTTCTCACAGTACTGGGAGGTAGAAATACATTATTTTTCTCCCAGATTCAGTAATGTGTGCAGATGGTTTGGCCAGTCCGACTAAATAATTTCCATAAAGCACTTTCCGAAACAACATCAGTTACCAACAGATATACCACAACAATATAGACCTGAGGCTATACAGTAATTACACAAGACAGCTTGAAAGAAATTAATACTATAAAAAGTTAAGCAGGAAGTTTACGCAGAATAATAAATGCTGTGAGGCTATCCTACTAGCCACCAATGCTGTGCTAATCATATACAGCTTAGAAAGACAAGTGTGGTTTGTGCTATTGGCTTCTTTGTTCAGCTGGTTTGTGGCTGACACTCACTGGCAAAGGGGCAAATGGTGTCCAGCACTCCATCCTTCCCTAGGACTTTTACCTGAACAAAAGTAGACAGGCAAACATGTGACAAGTGACCCGGGAGGTGCCAGAGTATGACGGAGGTACTACTTGGCCGGGTCAATTTCACCACACCACAGCTGACCAGGGATGTGTATTAACAATTGAAAGTGCCACTTTTCTCAGTTCCCCTTTATGAATTTTACCAACAGAAACCCACTCCCGGTTGGCAAGATTCACCAGGTCCCTCAGTTGATCACCCACCCCGGAAAAGTTTCTGCATGGCACTGAGGGTGACAATCACAAGGACAGGCCAAAATACTCCTGTCTTACACACAGGCATGCGCACACATATACATTACTCACATTACTCAGGCACACACATATACATTACTCACATTACTCAGGCACACACATATACATTACTCACATTACTCAGGCACACACATCCACGGTTGTGCTAATATCTTTGTATACAGATGTGCTCCTAATCCACTCAGCTAATAATCCATTCACCACAGTGCACAGCAACAGGAAGGAGATGGGCAAAAAGATGGAGGATGGTCTTACCTGAACACATAGGTAAGGATGGGGTATGATATTACTAAACTTCCCAGTGGTCTGTAGAGTAAGAGATTCCAATCAATTAAAACCAAAAGGTGAGCAGGCAGTTCAAACAGTTTAAACAGTGAATGCTGTAAACAAGGTGAAATCACTTAAGAATATAAGACAACTCTGATGTGTTGTCAAGTGACTAAAAATAACATAAATGTGCATTTAAAAGATAAACTGCAGACACGCTGCCAGTCCACTGGAGGTCACATACTCGCTTCTCGACATGCAGCCGCTTTCGTGAGCCCTGCACTTCTCCACAGTGGCCTATTCCTCCTTCAGGCATCTGACAGAGCCACAGTTCAGCATCGACCCTGCAGGGGGCGCTCAGTGTCCAGGACAGTGCAGTTTCATTGTTGTTTGTTGGAACCGGGTCCACAGACACGGTGACATTGTTCAAGACGTTTTTAATTAACTCTGTGGGAGAGTAGAAAGATTCCTGTAAAGAACAGTCAAGTGCCCCAGAGTAAATGGCAAATACTGCTGAATGGATACTGTATACTGGGAGAATAAGTTCTAAAGTGTACCCCCGAGGAACTACTTCTGAGTACAGCGTGGGGTTACTCTGCATGCTGCAGTAATTTTTTTGAATTAATGAATGCAGATTAATGGTAGGTATGGCAGATTATGAAAGTAATCCAGTCTGGAAGCTGAAAATTCACAAGTGGGAAATCTATCTTTATTTCTTATTAGAAAAATTACTACTTGATACAAAACACAAAAATAAACCCAAATATCTATCCATTGATCCATCCATCCATGTATCAACTGTAGTTAGGGTCTTAGGGTAACCGTGAACATATGTAGCCATTAGTATTTTGTGTTTTGTAAAGTGTGTCATTCCAATAAATGATTCAAGACAAATATAAACTATAAATTAGTATACAGATAAATGAAACACATAAAACGAGGGGTGGGTGTACAGCCTTTACACCTGAGTGCAATGGTTAGTTTCTTTCCATCCTGTTCACACAGAACACAAATCTTTACAAAATTCATTACAATTCAGTTGTAATGTCCAAATATAAATAGGTGTCTGTTGTACAGTATGTACTTGGTTTAGAAATACAGACAGGTTTCCTTTTGCATTGCCTGGGAAGTGTAATGCTAACTGAACAGCTCTGGTGTCACTTACCTGTTTGGTTCACAAAGGGACAGCTTTTTGCACGCAGTGGGTGAATGCTGCCAGTCCACCATACCTGTCAAAAGGAAGAAGAGCAGACGGCGTTACAGCACAAGGCAAAGCCCACCTGGACAGGGCAGCTAGCAGGCCACAAGTCGTTAAGGACGAGCACTTGATAAAATTAACTGACAGAACAGCTGTCAATATCTTAATAAAACATCTGTCTGTGCTAAGAAATACTTAGAAAACTGATGTCTTACCTTGAAGCACAGGCAGGGGGCAACTGAGATCAGGGGAATAGTAATCTTCTCTGTGTGATTCTGTTGCTGGAGTTGAAATGGACATATTAATACATTGGAGGTGCCACATTAAGTATCCCTTCCACAGATTCGTGGTTGTGTCTAATCACCTTTATACGCCTCTATACCCTGATATCCTAGCTTAAACAGCCCATTAGACCCTCAGACACTACACCACATCAGTCTTTAAATGTAAATTAAACATGAGCTGACTCTCTGACTCATTATGGTACTAGAGAATCCTTAATTTATAGCACAGAAACTCACCCATTGCCTGTATGGCCGTTCACCCTGGTCTCCATACGACATGTACAGCTTTGCGGAGCGGATATGCTCCGCACCATCATCATCCAGCTGCAGGGTCACCACCGCCTTCTTCCAATCAATTTCAGTCCTTATTGTGGGAACTGATGGAAAAAAAACATGTCAGTCACAGCATATGATTGCAGTGCGAGTCCAATACAGCACAAGTGCATTCGACCAGTCACAGCTGCTGACGAATATTACCTATGCTAAAAAACAAATTGGGTATTAAAGACGCTAAGAAACCAGTAGCTGTTGAAGTAAAGGCACATATAAAGTACAGAAACAGCTAAAAGGTATTAGCTAGATTAGTCAGGGAAATATTATTCAGGAATAAGCTAGATAATAGCTATACAGGTATATTCCAGTAATCCAAGGTCTACCACCACACATGACACTATGAGCATTTTCTACTCACCATCACATCCTTCCACATCTCTGTGCAGGGCTGAAGAACAGACTGAGGGATAGAAAAAGGAGAGGATTATAGAAAATCGAACAGCTGGTACATAGGAGCCTAAAACTGACACGTGAGTGTCTATGTCTCGGACTTGGTGCATGTCAGCTATGTTCCATTGCTGGCTATGTGTGAGGATCATGTAGTTGCATGTGCTTTGCATATGTAGGTAGTGTGTAAAGTGTATGAGTGCGTAAAGCAAATACAAAATATCAACACACCCTTTTTGAAATGTAAGCTTTTGTTTAAAGACTGAAAATAAAGTGCATTTAGATTTTTTAAAGCGAAAGTAGCCTTAAGTCTGTGTGAATTGTCTAGCAGTTTAGCACATGATTTAGCAACTTCTGTATTTTTTGTACAGAGCCTTGGATATTTTGTTTGATATTTTTTCTAATTGAAGCTGGGCCGTTCAGGTGTGCAAGCTGTGTGCAAATCAGCTCAAATAGTCACAGCACAGGAAAACCATCTAAAGACAGAAGTAGTGCAATTTTATCTTTGGGGTGAAACACAGCAGATGTCCTTGGACATGTTTGTTTACCGTCTTGTATGGAAGGGAACGTGATGATTCGCTGTAAGGTAGAGGGATACACCTGCACCATTACTTGGCTGTCGAAATACACCTTCTCAGAGATCACTACGGAGAGCCAGACCTGTAGGAGATAAACAGCATGAGGTAGACTGATCAGGATGCTAATGGTAGGGCAGCACATCCAGAAGGGTCAGCTCAGATGTAAACTGAGCCAAATAAATGAGACGTGCAAGGCATGTGAATTGGTAACACTTGTAAAGTATGTATCAATGGGATACGGTATCTATCGTAGTGCAGTACTGTACATGTACATGTTAAATGTCATACAAAAGTAGCAAAGGTTTATATTCATTTACTTCAGGCGTATCATTCTCCTCCAAAACAGCAGGGAGCAGATTGAACTCCAGTCTCTTGCAGAATGAAAGCAGAGGTGGAGCGTTGTAGCATAAGCTTAGCGAGGCCGCTGCTGCGGGACACAGACACCAAAAGGGGATGGCCGTTAGAGACAAAAGAGCGTGTCCACGGAGATTTCATAACTCTTTATGCGAACTGATGGAGACAAATGGATACCGGCGGGATCCTAACAAGAAAGACATTTCCTTTATTGCAATAAAAAAAAAAAAATGTAAGAAACAGGCAAATTATATATTGTTTTAAATATAGGATGCCTGCCAAGACAGGAAGAAAGCTACACATGGGTTTGTATAATGTAAGAACAAATGGGACATACATCAGAGCTCGTAGCAGAACAGCTGACTACTGGTCCTACCTTCTTCACTCTCCAGGCTTTTGTAAACATCATCCTCATCCTCAGCAGACTGTTCCGGGTCCTCATATATCTTACCTGAGACATCCAGAGGGAAAAAAACAGCTTGCATATTTATGGAAGAGAATGCTGAAGTGTTTTTTAAACACTAATATAATTCAAACTAAACACTGGAGAAGAGTCACACAATTTTAATATTACAGGCTTATACTGTGCACTGTCTCATGCACAAACCACAGAACACCCTGTAAACGGCTGCAGTACATGTGTAGTCATATTTATGGTATTTACGAGTATTGTTCCTTGGAGAATACCAGCAAAACATGCATAGGAGTGTTCCCATAAACACATGTATGTTCATCTGTGAATAGTACATATGCTGAAATATAAAGATATGCAAAAGCAAAGGCTGTCTCCACAGCCAACCAGCCACACAGAAGATTACCTGCTACAATAAGCTGGATTTTTATCTCCAGACATGGTCTGCAGTTCCTCTGTTCTGTGCAGCACAGCAGTGGCTTAAGCTCCATATTACTAACGTTCACTGGACCCCACACTGGCCTCCTTAGGAACTCATCTAGACAGAATAGAGTATTACACTGACAGGCTGTCATCCACACAGCAAACAAAGGGAGAGGAATAACAGGCCAACATCTGCATATAAAACTGAGCACCAGATACACAGCACATCATCCACAATTCTCATTTGCAATGGGAGCAGCGTGTGGCTCAGTAGACTAAGCCTCTGTGCCTGTGATCAGAAGGTTGTTGGCTCAAGCCTGGCCTCAGAATGTCTGTGGGCCCTTGAGCAAGGCCCTTAACCCCCAGCTCCCCGGGCACCATTATGGGCGGCTGCCCTTCACTGGCACGCTTGCTCTCATGGAGAGCAAGATGGGATAGGCAGAAAGAGAATTTCCCTATGGGGATCAATAAAGTTTCATTCATTTTCATTCAAAATAGAGTGCTTACCCCGGATCCTGCAGTCTGATATGCCCTGAAAAATGAAAGAGAGATCTTTAGAGAGAAATACATATATACACACCCCTTCACATACACACAATACTGCTTACAAAACTATACACCTTTCAGAATCACATTTAAGTGTATAAAGTACAACAGAAACAGACACTAACATTTAGATATATTTCTATTTAGTCTTAAAGTATTATAAATTAAGATTATAAGAATGTACAAAAACAAAATAATGCACACATATTAAGCAAGAAAACACCACTACAACACACCAAGATATGAATACTGGAGTAACACCATCCTAATAAATAAACTGTCCTTGAGGCGATTGGTCTCAACCTACAGCGGCAGAGTAGGCTGGAACAGTAGGTTGTTTGGCTTGTTTAAGGTAGGTACATTTTTGGTTAAGGTACACAAAGGCATGCCTGTTAACCAAAATCACAATTTCCAGGAAAAGTTAATAACTCTGGGAGAGCTGCCTATGAGTTTGTTGAGCACTCATGAGCAGGCCTAATTTTAACCATAATGGACTATAGGAGCTGAGTTTTTACAAACCGCTAACAAAACTTCTAGTGAAACAGAAGTACATGAACAGCCTTAGCCAAATGATCCATAGCAGCCTCAATCAGTTATACAGGTCCCAAAGGAGTAAAGCTGTTTTTGTATAATGTATGCACTTGTGAAGGTTGGGAACCGGTCTCTACAAACCCGAAACCTCCGAAGGATAGCCTGTTACTATAGAAACAGTATACTTGCTGACGGATAGGGTATCCACTTCTCTGGGGGACATCAATAAGTAAGGAGAAGTAAACCATGGTCCATTTCCCAGACGCATTTCCATTCCTTTTTCCATTACAGGCAAATAATTTATTATGGACCATTTTCCAGCACTTAAAATCCGGACTTCGGAAAAAAAATAGACCCTTTAATTTACAGAAATACTGCGTTTCGTATTAAGGTTTCAGAGCGTTTGCAATATGCGGTAAAATTACATATTTTATATCTAGAGAGGTCGGTATGTCTCGTTTTTAAGTCTGGCGAATCTGTTCCACAAATATCACGTAAAATATAATGTAAATTATAGTTTTTCTTATTATTATTATTATTACCTGGGTACAGATGAACTGGGAGTTCTGGTTATAGTCGATCTTCTCCAGAAGAACGGCCGAGAAGCTAAAGTTCGCGGACAGCAGTGCCGCGACCACGGGCAGCCATAGATGAGGCATCGTCCCACGGGTAAGTGACTCGGTCTTCCCCTTTCGGGATATCTGATGCAGCTGACAACGGGAACCGCTGCCCTGGCTGATCACACCGCCAGCGGCGGCGTGGTTACTCCTGTAGCTGATCCGCGCCACCCGCGGTTCCTCGATAGTCCCCGTACACACCTGTATGAATCAAGACCGCTGAGCCAAAGTTACTTTTCGCCCTCTCACATCCACTCCCACGGCATCCTACGAGTCTTGCACGGAAGTGACTGACTGTATGCCAGCTCCCTTTTCCAGTCAATGGGGTTAGGCAATACTTGGCTTGATTTCAGAATCTTGAAACGTGGCACGGAGCTCCTTGAAACCTGGTTTTCGAGTTGTTCTTGGAGTTCTCTGAAAAAATAAAAGTGTAGATTAGATGAACCACTACAGCAGCCCTTCCAATGACAGAGATGACTTGATACTGTGCACTGTGAAACAATGTGAACATGCACATGCAAAATAATATCTGTTCCTCTTTTGTGAAATTACATTTCCGCACAAGCAGGCCGACAAAAACAATCAACCACTTTTTGTAAGATGGATTTTGCAAGAAACATTCTTCGGAAATACGAGTCACCTAATGGACACGCAGAAAGTGACATGCAAAATTCTCATTACTAACCCCCCCCCCCAACACAACACACACACACACACACACACACACACACACACACACAAAAGCACTATTACATATTGACATTTTTGTTCAAGGTATATATGCATGTTCCAGTCCGAAGAAATGCAGAAAATATGTTATTGTTTGTTCACGGCAGATGGATAAATATGGAAGAACTGAGCCATAGTTATAGCAGACAGACAGGCAGGAAGATTTTGGGAAGCTGTCAGACTGTGGTCATTTGACCGTGTTGCAATGAAGCCATAGGGGTATTAGTGGCGTTTGGGTAATTCCATTTTTAAGAACTCCGCATCAGCATGAACATGTCTTTTGGAAATGGTAGATTTTCTTTGTTAATTAGTATTTCGCATTTGTGACAAAAATGAGCAAAATACATAGGGTGGCCTTTTACCCTTTCCAATCTCATGTTCTTGATTATGTGTTTTATATAATTTGTTAAAGGCTGTATTTGTATGCACAAAAGTATATCGAGTAATAGGAACTGAAAATGCTGCGGTCAGTGTTTGCATGCCATGATTGTACATACTTCACATCCAGCCAGCTAAACACTCATCTTGTGACTGTTTATCTACTCAAAGCAAAGCAGAGTTCATATTCGAGTCCAATGGTGACAGTACTCTGCTGAACTTGGGTTTCTTAACTGATTGGTGACCTGATCGCAGATCACTGTGTCCTGACCCATTAAGTCATACACCACTTTCTGACATTTGCGTGGAGTATGCAATTAGGCCCTTACAATGGACATTCATTGTGTTTGACTTAAAAAGAGCACATATTAAACCATGAGAATTTTGTATGACCCAGTAAAACTCTTGTAACTCTTTGAGATCTCATTGACATCCAGAAAATGGTTGCAGTGATATTTGTGCAAATTGTAATAATATTAAGCAGAAGCGTACCTGTAAGTTTAATGGTGGAAGGTGAGCTGGCTTGGGCATTGTAGTGGTTTTTCGACAATTCCATATCTCACATCTACTTTCAGTTTATAGGGATAGAATTGAGCATGACACTCGCATACTTGTGTATAGATAAGGTACTGACCTTTGGAACGCTGTCCTTCACAGGTATATGACACACATGATGAAGAAGGAATCTAAGGTATATCCTCCTGAGACCCCACCCATTCATTTATGTCCATTGCAGTGGACATTTTGTTTTTTCATATATCTTTTCACTGATGTAAGGAAACATATTTATTCCTGTTCTACACTAAAGAGGACATGCTGGGTAATTTAAAATAAAAATAAATTTCCTCCAAAGACATAGAAAATCACAATTAACCTAAAACTGAAGGACACTTTTTTTCTTGGGTCTCAGGAGGATATTACTGTTTTTTAATGTTTTTTTACTCAAGCTTCAAATAAGTTATAAAATTCATTCATTGCAACTGTAGCATACTATACTAGCCCCAATATCCATCAAATCTATAATTAGATTTCTATGCATTAGTAATGTTAAATAATAATATTCCCAAACATTTTGACTGCAGCTTAGAGTGCTGACATAGGAGTACAATCCCAGGATAGCAATCAGACTGACAAGATGTGATGCATTGATCAAATGTTGATCCAACCAGACTGATGGGCACTGATAGTGCACATTCAAGCCTGCTTGCCTCAGGAATGCTGTAACAGTTTGGCTAAAGATCACCTCTGCACCACTAATCCCTTTAACGTAAATAGCAGGCATTAATAATGTATACATGTACAAAGTTTACAGAGGATCTGATGCACAGTGAGATCATGCACGGTAATCTCACAGTGGTTTACTACATGCAGTCACGTACTTAAAGTCTGGAAGTCTCGGTCACACCAGTACACACCTACAATCACCTTAGCAAGGCATGGACAACAAACACACACAGACACACACACACTGTACTACTCATAGCAGCATGTAGCACATAAACATAGTATGGGATGCAGGGAGCAGCTGAGAATTACTCTATAGGAACCAGAGGTAAGAAACCCAACCCAGTCATAACAAAGAACTTGGTCACTGAAACAATAATGAATGCATGAATGCAAGTGAAACTGAAACAAGAAATGATTAACAGCCTAAGTATTTGAGAACTTACAAAAGGTCCATGTGACCAAACTGTGGTTATATCAGGTGACCATTTTTGCCAGTAAACAAGTTTAAACATGACTGTCAAAAGAGCTGACTGCTAGCCCTACCACTGAAAAAGCAGCAGTAAAACACAGAAAGTTATTGTTTAAATTTAATTTGTTTTGAGAACAAACACCAAACAAGACAAAAACTCAAGGTCTTGTCACAACAGTGGGGTATTAATAAAGAAAAAAAAAATTAATAAATCTTTAACATAATAAAGGAAATTCTTTTTAACCAGGCTTAGGTAGAAGACATCCATAGCAACAATCTTACATTCATTGGAGGAAACTCGCTCACACAATGACAGATCAGATAAGTCACACTGAGCGACGGCCAGAAATCAAACACAGAACTCCGGACATGTCATGTCACACTGCCTAGGACTAAGACCTTGTTAATCAGAGAGCTCAGGCACACAGCCAGGCACTAAAATTATGGGATTGCCCCCCCTGCCCCCATTAATTCTAATGATCGGTAATGTTGTTGGACACCTCAAGAAATTTACTACTCGCCAGGACCAGTCAAAAGTCTGGACACACTTGCCTTTACCGCGTTTGTCTCTATTTTAACTATGTTATTCACCTTATAGTAAACCGCCTCAAGGCAATGAAGTAATACATACCAAACATCACAATGACAAAGAGAAGTGCTCAACATCTCAAAGTTTTTTCAAATTTTACACTCTTCAAAATAGCCCCCTTTGCTTCAATGACAGCATTGCAGACTATTTGCGTTCTTTAAACTATCTTGTAGATGCAGCCACCTGGAATGCTTCTCCAACAGTCCCGAAGGAGTTTCCCCAAGTTCAGGGCACTAGTTGGCTACCTTGCTCTTACTCTTCGATCCAACTCATCCCAAACCAGCTATATAGGGATTAGGTCAGGGGATTGTGGGGGCCAGGTCACCTGTCACAGCACTTCACCTCTTTCCTTGTTCACAAGATATTACTTACTATGTAACCTCAAGGTGTGTTTTGGTTTGTCATCTTGTTTAAAAACAAATGATTTTCATTATGTTTGTCTAGACCTGCTACTGCACACTTTCTTAAGACATTTGCACAACATTGTGTATACTGAGTAAAATAATTTTGTATACTATTTTTATTACCTAAAGAAATTACAGGATAGTTAAACTACTCTCTGTCCACTACAAAGTACAGAAGAGATTGTTAAAAAGTTAAAAAGGCGAGAATCCGATTAACAATTAGGACAAGTAGGTGAAATGCATAATTCATTACTAGTTAAAATGTCATATTTAAAATTTTATTCTTAAAATACTTTCTATAGGAACACAAACAATAGGCAGTATTCGTTTTCCATTTACTTACTAGACACCTATCTAGATAATATACAATTTTGCATTTCTGTTAATGTGTATTTTATTAAAACACAAAAGAAAAGTATTTTTTCATGCGTATGAAAGCGCTTCCCCTTCCTTAGATTGCTCTATCTTCATAATGTGGTTTATAGATTATCATGTTCTAGTTCGTTTCACTAACCAGTCATATTACAAAAGCATTTTCGACACTGGTCAGTCTCTTCTTCTCGGAAAAACCTGTTCCCGTCTAGTGATTGAGTAAATACTGTGAAGAAAAGGAACAAATGTCCTACCAACAGAGAATACCATGCAAAATTCAGTCCCAAACAGCTTTAGCTCAAATCTTAACTCACCTCCAGCTATCCATTTGAGGTACTTTCTATGTGATCAAATTCCATTCAGACTTAAGCAAAGATCTCGTCAGACAAGAACATTAAAACTCCAGTAGTACTTACTCTTAACCTGCCCAATTATTGTCTGATAACTGCAGCGAACTTCTGACTCACCTATAATCTCGACAGGTATGTGACTTTGTTTTCCAGGTAATCCGCCCAGAGAGGCCAGCCCTGCCCTCCAAGGTTTCAGTGCTGCTGCAGAACAGCTTTGCAGATTGAGTGGCACCTCTGGAAAAACATCACACACAAACACCTGACATCTCACATGCACACCGTATGGACACACATGCAGATCCCAAATCACACCTCGCACATACAAAATATTTATTTACCGTAAGAGATAACAGGGATAACAAATGACAAGGATATTACATTTTTATCTGTTGCCATGCCATTATTGCTGAGCTGTATTCACTTAAGCCAATAACCTCTCATAGGGTGGCTACTTTCTAGCTTTCTGCTAGGCAACCTGTAAATCTGTAAGCCATGAGAAGACCATTGTTTGCTACGGTTCAGTAACTTTTCCCTGGGTCACATCACCTTTGAGAATAGGGCCTCTATATTTTGTTTGCCATCGACACTGAGGCACTGGCATCTAATTAACAAGGAGAGTCCTCTTGACAACAGTCACATCTTAATCCAAAAATTAACTCCTTTTTCACTCTGGGTGGTTTACAAACCCATTTTTCTTAAAACAACTAAGGACCATAACATTAGCCCTCAGCCCTACTTTTGTTTAGAAATTCAAAGTAAATTTATATCTGAGAAAGATAATATTTGTTTAACTAACAAACATTATATGATAATAACAAACACTATAATCATATAATGTTTGTAACAAAGTATATTAAAGCTGTTAAGGTATTTTATGATGTTAAGGTATACTTACATACAGCTTATAAATGTTCTATGAATGCATTATGAATTCCCATGCATTGTATTAGTTTCACTTTGGTGAAACATTGCTAAAACACTAGTGAAACATTAATTTGTACTTTTAGCCAATGAGTCCTATGAGGTCCAAAGTTCACAGCTGGTTCTACCATGTACCTTTTTCTCAAAATAGTTGCAAGACTATACCAACAGGTGTTTCTATCCTAAAGATTTAATTCCAGATTTTCGCTGAATGGGGCTCTTTGTGTTACTGAAGGTGCATTTACCGTCAAGTCCTAGACTATATTGATTTTGGTGGCTCATTGCTTCTCCTGCAGGCATGGGGGTGGAAATCCTACCGCCAGCTCTGGGTGTGTGGAGTTTGTTCAGGTATTCTCCAGATAGTCTGGTTTCCTCTCATAGTCCGAAAACAATGAGTCCAGGAAAAGCATTCTGGGCGATTGCGTGTGCAGGGTGTGTGCCCTGTGAAGCACTGGCATCCCACCCAGGGTGTTTCCCGGTGCCCTGTGATGGACTGGCATCCCACCCAGGGTGTTTCCCGGTGCCCTGTGATGGACTGGTATCCCACCCAGGGTGGTCCCCGGTGCCCTGGGAAGGGCTGGCATCCCACCCAGGGTGGTCCCCGGTGCCCTGGGAAGGGCTGGCATCCCACCCAGGGTGGTCCTGTGCCTTGTGCTCTGACCCTCCTGGGATAGGCACCAATCTGGTTGGAAGATGGATGGGAGTATATTAAATTTTAAAGTATTAAATCTGGAAAATTATTCCAAAAAATCATTTATTCAGTTTTACTGATTTAAAAAACGACATATTCGAAAATTCTTGGACATTTTATGTTTTTAAGACAAAGTTTAAAGATTCTGTTACAAGTCTATAAGGAGTTAAAAAAATATTGCCGTGTTTATTTTTTTTTAACTGCATCAGAAAGGTAGGCTACAAATCTGAACCGAAAGCCACATCATTAATCTTTCTGATATCTTTGTGTGTAGCCTAAGCCAGCTGTCCTAACAAAGGTGATGATCTTTGTTAACCTGATCAACCAATCAAATGTTAGCAGAATGGTTGGCAGGGAAGAAAACCTCTCTGTACTTTGCATTTTTATGGCTACAAATCAGAAGTCTGTATTATCAGGGGGAGGGGGGGCATAGCCCAGTCCAGCACTTCCCTAGATCCGGCCCTGGTCTTAAGCATAGCTGAGCAAAGCCAAAATAACAGACTACATTTTATACAGATATCCTATTTGGTAACTTATTTTTTGTTTTTTTTGCCATAATTTGAACAGACCATACTAGACAGAATGGTCTAACATAGCATTCATAAGAGCACAACTTAAAGGACTAATTAAATTTATTGCAATTTGAGAAAACTTATGTAAATAATACATACATCTTATTTACTTACCTCAATGTATTAATTCATATTTTTATTTTCCAATAAGGTTTTTGTATAATTGGTATTACATCTGCAGTTCCAGTATTCTTGCTGAGTGTAATAACATACACTGGAAAACATTATAAATGTAAATATGGTACATTATAAAAATAAAACTCACACCTCATACATGGCACTGTGCTTCCTTATATAGTTATAGTACCTATTAGAGTATATTCACTGTATCTGTAAATATGATTAATGTATGCTGTACACCTCAGATGTGAAAAATGATCAGTGTCAATTGCAGGACGTCATTGGTGAAAAGTGAAGATCGCGATCAGTTGGTTGCAGAACAATGTCATTGTTGAAGACTGATGATCACTGTCTGTTGGTTCATTGGTGTCATTCAGGTATGAAGTGGAAGGCTGTGCAGCACCTTGTCAGCAACAATGAAGCCTGATGACAGAGTTGGAGGCTATTGCATACCTCAGTTAACCAAGTTGTACAGCAAATGTTATGAAGGAATGCTGCTGGTCAGGTTTGGGTCTGGTCTGGTAATGATAGTCTGCTTGCTTAATTCCTTGTTCCATTTAGTTTCAGGTGTATCTGTCAACAACAGAAGTTGTTCTGCTTTCTACTGCAGAATAAAAATTGAACTATGTAGTGGCATGTAGTAGTTCCATCCATCCACTTTCAATACCCTGCACAGTGTCGCGGGGGTCTGGAGTCTGTCCTCGAAACCTTGGGCACAAAGCAGGAAACAACCCAAGACGGGGCACCATCTCATTGCAGGGCAAGTGCATGCACACATACACCTATAGTTTGTGGACTTTTTTTGGACCGTGTGGGAAACTGGAGAACTCATGAGGAAACTGTGAGGCACCGGTGCCATAGGTTCATTAAAATTTTCAGGTGTGCGCTTCGAGCTATTTAGATAGAGACAAATACACACACACACACGCACACACACCATCAGAGCTAAATGTAATGCAACAAAAATGTACCAAAGTTAACAGTGACTGTGATAAACAGGAAGTAATAATGTTTTATTTATATAGTGCCTTTCTGACACTCAAGCATGCTTTGCTATATATCCACTCCAACTCACACAAAAACGTATTGACTTTAAGCCTGAAGCTATTGATTTTGAAAAAACCCTGAAATGCAAATATCCAGGAAACACAGCAGACAAAATGTATTTGATACATTTCCTTCTATGAATATTGTTTATTACTATTAATTTTCTAACAATATTTGATACATAATAGCATCACTAATTTTTAGATTACATTAGGTCCACTGACAGCAGTATGAACTGTGCTCTAATTTTGACAATGGATCTGCATATATTCTCTTCAAACCACGGATTTAGTTTGTCTGCATGATGTAATCTTTTCCATTTTTTTTTTTACGTTCAAAAGAAAACACCACTGAAGGCCTCTTCTGAATGAAAGTGCCTTTTTTCCCCTCCCGAATACTGACATAATAAACACGTTTCAGTGGAATTTCTCAAACCGTGCTCTACCAGTTTACAGGTTACCTATAAGGATATACCCTAACTTTTCATGCCACCCACAGCAAAGGGACTTATTATATTAAAACAATGAGATCTGTGATTCTGGGCTTTGGAGGCTTCCCTAAGTGGATAGTAAGTGATGTTCTTGCTCAGTCAGGCCTGGCTATTTCCGGTCTGGCTTGTCTGACCAGACACAGTGCTGCCCCTGCCCTTTCATGCCTGTGCTGCTGGCATGTGGAGCTGTAACTTGTGTGCCAGCTTATCTGCCACCCTGTATGCCTGCATGGTGGAAAAAAGTCTGTGCCAAAACCGCCACCTAGTGTCTGCCTGACAGTAATGCAGTTCCTGCACCAGGGCCCTAAAATCACAGGGTAGCTGGTATAGCGGAAGCTCCTTAAGCTCCTTCGGAATGTCCTGGCTGCAGCAGAGGCCTTCAAAACCAACCAGTGCAAAGCCATGACTTTGTCCGTAGCCGTGCAACATGCCCCGTAGATAAGCCAGCGCTGCCCTCAGGACAGATGTGGTGACTCCACTAGGCTCCATGCTTCTGTCACTTCCCTCCATGTGATGACCTTCTCCTTCACTCTTCTCTTTTCCCCTTTGGTCATTCTCTATTTGTCTCTCTCCCGTTTCTTCTGCAGTTGGTCCACACCAGGCTTGGTAGGCTGAGTTGCCTTCTGGGCTCCAAACAACCAGAACACGACCCCCAGCAGCCAACACGGTCTCACACTGGCCATACAGCCAAGGCAGGGGCCCCAGGTCAGCAACACCCCCGCCTCTTGATGCCAAATGTGCCATATGCACGCTGGAGCACAGGTCCCCCTGCAGGATGGAGGCCAGAGCACATACAGCAGACAGCTGATCTGTCTGCTCCGAAGAGCACACCAGTAGGACAGGCCTGTATCTTAGCTGCCAAGCTGGAAAGAGAGAGAGAGGGGTAAGTAACCAATTCTTCCATGCCAACATATCCCCACACACCCCAATACTCCCAGTTTCCTGTACCTGAGAGTCTTCTTCGGGCGGCATGGTAACTCAGGTATGTCAAAATAGCCCCAGAGGTTACGACTATGGCTGTTGCCACAGCAACAAGGCCCCACCTCTCGTGTGAAGCTGAGAAGAAATGGGAGACACAGGGGACAGGCATCAGTGCATCTGGCTTAAAGTGACAAGTGAGCATTGCCAAGTGAATGAAAATATGGTACTGGGACACTCACAGAAAGGACAGAAGAGTCTCCAGCTGTAAAGTAATGGGTCTGTCTGCCAGACCTATAAGACATCAAACAAGATGCACCAAATCTGCCCTATTGCCAATATACTGACACTGTAATTCACACACCAACCTGAGTATTTACAACTGTGTGATTAGACTAGAGCAAGGATTTTCAACTTCTTTTAAACGAGAGACCTCCAAATAAAAACAGACTCCAGCTAGATACGCAGTGATGGCCAAATGAAGCTTCATGCACTTTGTGGTATGTTTATGACACCACTACACAGGACATTGGTTTGCTTTGGGGCATGATTTGAGCCCTTTTTTGAACAGAGATTGCCATCTAGTGGGGGCACAAAATATAGCAACTGATTCATGAAGCTTCATTTGGCCATAATACTAATATGTAATGATAAAAATAACTAAGCAACTTGAATGATCACCTAATTAAGTAATATGAATGACAAATTGATATAGAGAAGATCACTATATCACCTGCACACACAGCTCCGGCTGGAGATGGATGAATGGGAGATGTAATTCTTTGTTATGGGTACCGTCCTACAGGACATAAAATTATATATTAGATCCACCAGGGGTTCACCTATAGTATGTAAAAATTCATGCACACTATTTTATACGTACACTGTTACATATAGGCACTAACATACACGGTTAGCAATTCACAACCCCCACCAACAAAAGTAGCTCCTTGGAACAATGACCTCTGTTATCAGCCACCAGTTGGTCCAGGTCTCTAGGCAATGCTGGATTCCCTTAAATTTTGCACTTGTTTAGTAGGAACCTAGTCGTTGTTGTGTTTTAACTTGAATACCTTTTCTATTAGTTTCTTACAGTGTTTTGTAATATACTGTACAAATGTGCTGCTGCAGTGCTAACTTGCACTTGTACCTGGTCACTGACTGGAAGCTTAGCCTAGCTGCATGTATGCCTAGTTGTAGGGTTACCATATATGGTGTGATGAAATAGTGGATGTGTCCAGGGATCAGAATATTAATGAGTTTTCACATTCACCAGTCAATCAGGTAGCACTTCTCTCATGAATATTAATGAGGTCCCCCTGTAAAACGAAAATTCGCATCTGGGGAAACCCAGACATATGGAAACCTTACAGTTAATTGTCGTTTTACAATACACTCAACAATTGACACAATAAATGTGTATGTAAGTCTTTTCCAACAAAAGTTACAACAGGCTAAGCTAAAGTTGTGCATTGTTCACCAGAAGTTGGTTTCTGGAAGTTGACATCACTCGTAAGCAACATGACATGTAGGAATGTGAATGTCATTTAATTTTTAAACATGTGCACTTGCAAATGCTGTGTTATGATACTGAGAGGCTGCTGAATACTGGAAATTGGCACCTTTTCCTTCACTTTGCACTCCACTGCAAACCTGCAACACTGGACCACATAGGTTGCAGCGCTAAACCTGGACAAACTGCCGATTTTTAAAAAACTGCCTGGACACCCAGATAGGGGCCTGAAAATAAGACGTGTTCAGGGAAAGCCAACGTATGGTTTCTTGACAGTTGTTTGCTGCTTTCCTTATATGTCTGCTAAATAAATAAATGTATTTTAACTAAAAAATGCCTGTCTTAATACCTGAAAAGGAGTAAGTATTTTTAATGCGGTATATTGCTCGCTTCACCACAAAACCAGTTGGTCAAGAGTTACTCTCTCTGAGTATTGCATCAGTTTCCCGAAGACTAATATACAAGCCCTCACACACACACTTTTCTGTATTTCACCTCATTCACCTTGCTGACAGAGTGGACTGCACCCCAGGTAACACACTCCTGCCCCTGTATAACACAAAGCTGAGCAGAAAATGATGCTGGAACGGGACTTCTGATGTATACTTGCAGGTGTTGGGAGGCAGGGACCACTTCTGCGTGCCATTTAGTAAGATCTAAGGGGGATGGAAGGGTAAAGGACACATCAAACATAGATTTTGGGTTACAGACCTTTTGTGGAGCGGATGTGCTCTCTGGTAGTTTGTCATCTCACAAAAAAATCGTTGTCTCAGTTTTGAAAGATAAGGGGATTTTCCTAACACAGAGGTTCTGGTGGAAAGTTAGTAGAAAACAACCACAAAACTCACCAAAAATAATGGCAGCAGCATGTCATTTGTCAACAGAATGGCTTATCCCCCATGTTAAGTTTACATTACTACACTATATACAGAAATACCAGCTGCACTGTATTTTCTCAAGAAGAATCAACAAATAAACAAAAAAAGAGAATCCCTGTCAAAATTTACATTGATCTGTCCATCGTCAATGGCATGTTTCAAGGAGGATTCAAGAAACAAGAGATACAACCAACTGAGTCTGAATCACCTAAGCTCTGTCTTTATTGCTGTGGTTTAGTGGGTCTTTGCACTGTACACTAGAGGGTCTCAAACCCTGGTCTGTGAACCTGTACTGGACTGTGGGCAGTATTCCACCGGGCCGTGGAGCCCTGGGGGTTTTGCAGAGGGGTTGGTTATTACTAACCAAACTAGATATTTTCCATTTTTTACTACCCCTCACATTGAAGAGTTCTACTCACACCTGAAATAAATGTAAAACTTAAACTCAGCTATTGATCTGCTAGCCCCCTGACCCCCTTCCCCGGTTATTTTACCAGTCCATGAAATTTCTGTATGACATAAACCAGCCCGTGGACACATAAAGCTTGGTAACCCCTACTCTAGATGTTAGGACTTGTGTGCCCGTGAAGGTGATTGGTTGAATTCAAGGTCATCAGTTCAAATCTTGTAGTCAGCAAAGTGATTTCATAGTTGGGCCCTAAACTCCAATTGAAATGCAAATTTCCAAAACTCATTCAGTCCAGTTCTTAAGTATAATTGGTGTGAACTTAGTGAGTAAAGCCAAATTTAACCAAATTTTCAGTTAGATTATGTCATGCCCCGCTTGTCCGATCCTCCCGTGTGCCACGCCCCTCATCTACCCCGTGTGGAATCCCTGTGTTTACCAGCTGTTTCTTGTTGCTGTTAATTAGTCCGGTGGATTTCAGTCCGCGTTCGAGTATGTTTCCCTAGTCCTGTCACTGACGTTGCATGTTTCCAGTGTCCTGTGATAAATTGATTTCTAATAAATCCTGCATTCCTCAATTGTCCGTCTCCCTGCTACTGCTTCCCCGGTCCTAGCCTGACATATTACATGAGGACTGAATGAGTTTTGGTTCCCAAAACTGTAACATGATGAGGAAGCCTGACATTGACAGTCATATCTCAAAGACAACAAATAATGGACTTCTTTGCTTCCTACGCGTATCCTAGTTTCCTCCCACAATAAAATAATAAAGATAATGCCTTAATCCTACAGATGACACATATAAATTATACACAGGTAATACAGAAGCTTAGGGTCGGAGCCCAAGGTCAGCTTTTTATCTGGCACCACTGGAGCAGTTTTTGAGGTTAAGGGCTTTGCTGAAGAGCCCAAAAGTAACATAAGTTAGAAGAGATGCAGTTTAAGTGGACAGGTATCTATATGATGTATGTACAGTTTTTGCTCTCAAATTTGTCACTTCCTATTAAACCTAAACCTGTAGTGCTGTGTGAAAGTGTCTCGACTGGTGTTTCAGTTTGTGCTCTTAAAGATGTACAACACTGACAAAAGTAATTTCCGTCACGTTTATGGGAATGAAAGAGTTGCGGCTAGCGCCTTGTCACAAAGGAAGGCCATGTCACAGGTTTCTTCTGTTTTGCATCTATGTCACAGGTTTTTGCATGTACGCTCCTAAATAATGAATTATGGGCTTGAAACGTGCATTGCATGTCTACGAAGGGTAAGTGTGTCACATCCACCGGATCTCCAGGGCTCATTTGTGGTTGTTTTGCTACTTTTACACTCTAACTCAGCCTCGTAAGACGGAAACCAAGATTGCTGATAGTGAACACCTGTGTAAATGTGTGAGAAGCACAGTGGGAGCGTGCCTGACATTTACGAGCCTTTCCGCAAGCTCACAACGACCACTCTCTCAAACTCACACAATCTAGTTTAAATGCCTAAAAATATCTACAGTAGTTGCTACTAGTGTCTTTGAAATTATGGTGTTACACCACCTTTACATATGACTAAGTCATTCGATATGATTGCAGAGATCCTTTACTGTCCCCAGTCAACTAATATGAAATATTGTTAAATTAACAGCTTCAGCATATAAAGCCTTATATTATGTTCTTCCATCCTCATAGGCTTAAGGGGTTTCCTTTACCCCTATTATTGTAGTGCACATAGTGTAACCAAACCAAGAACATAGTTTTCTTGTCATTGTTACTAAAACAAAACAGCATGCATATATTTTAAAACAAGTTTACACTTTAACTTAATGAAGCTTCATGAACCATTTGCTGTATTTGCTCACCCAATTAAGATAATGCTCTTTCAAAAAAAAGGGCTCAGAAAGATGTCAAAAATCTCAAAGCATGTCCCAGAGCATCCATATAGTCTAGTCTGAAAATACCGCAAGTGCTTCATGAGGCTTCATTTGGTCTTCACTACTTTATCTGGCAATCTTGGGCAAAGCCCAGCATTATGATACAACTTTGCATTTATTTGGGTGTTTACCTTCCTTAAAGATGCAGTATGCATGGGAACTGCTGTTTAGAGACAGCTGCAAAGAGATGGGGGAGGGTAAACAGAGAAAGAGGGAATTTATGACCTGCTAATTAAAATCAAATTTAAGTCAAAATCAAAGCAACTCAAATTCTCAGCTTCAGGGTTCGTACACTTTTCGAACAATGAATTTCCATGACGTTTTCATGACTTCTCAAGGACTTTAAGCTAAATTTCAATGTTTTTTTTGTTCAATCCATTCGGGAAAAGTGTTCACAGTTGTTATGTGATCATCATCGCATGACGCTATTACAAACATGTACTTTGTGTAGAGGAACCAGCGGTTACAATCTTGCAGTCATCCTTTGGATATGGATTTACCTTCCATTGCATAGAATTTTACAGATATGCATGTTGCTTTTCTCTCTTGCTCAGACACACACTATCAAAAAAGTTGCATAGTTCATTTTCCACCTGGTCTAACAATGTGAGTTGGACAATTATTATTTTCTAGCTATCACCAATTATGTTTTATAGCTATCACCAGATAGAAAGTCATTACTTTATTCCGCACATTTGCAATAACAAGAAACAATAATTACTAAGCTGTAAAAGTTAGTGCTAAAAGACTAATTACCCTAATGTGACATAAGCTCGATATACGCGTCAGAAAAATAAGCACAAAATAATGTTAACTTGAAGTATACCCAACACGTTATACTATGTGTAAAGTTTAAGAATCAGACATAATAATAATAATAATAATGCCATAAACAAATAATGCCACAGTGGACTATGCATGTAAACATATACTGTATGAAGGACGGCCCTTGGGTGTGTGTTGCAACTGTTAGCACAGGAGTGGAATTATAAGCTGGAAGTGACTTTATACTTTTTGTGAAAGTGTTTATTTTATATACAGTGGTACCTCAGAACTCGAATTTAATCCGTTCAGAACTCCGAATTAAATCCTAAAAAGTTCGAGTTCTGATCAAATTTTCCCCATAAGAAATAATGGAAAACCAATTAATTGATTCCCGGCCCCAAAAAATTACACTTAAATATGTTTTTTTTAGCATTTAAACACAAAATGAACCGGATAAAACAAAATGAGCATATACTGTACTAAAAACATCTAAGCACATTTATCAAAACAGTAATTTGTAAAGTAAGAAAATAAATGTATCCGAATAATGTGTAAAGTAAGACAAAAGTTGATATAGGCAGTAGAGACAGATCGCAACATGTCGGAACATTTTTTTTTTCGGTTCGGCAGCTTATAAAAGCTTAAAATTCGAAAAAGATCAAAATAAATCCAAAGAAATACATATGAACCATTACATTACTCTCACTTCCGCCTATATTCATTTTTGAAACCAGTGGAAATGCGGGCCAGTTCTCAAAAGGCACCAAATGAGAACTGGCCCAGCACCGACTCCGTGTTGGTGAAGATGAGACATAGAGTATGTTACGATTTTTAGATACACCTGTGTGGTGGAATGATACGGTTGATGTGAAATGTCCAAGTGTGGTTATCAGAGTCGGAACTAACTGTTGTATAAATATAAAATATTTCTTTTAGTATTGTCCACAAGACCACACTAAATGTATGACATTGACAACACACACACACACACACGCACACACACGTTTGTGATTATATCTTTCTGAAATGACTCTCCATAATTTGCATATGGAAAACTCTTATCACAACTTGACGACCTTAACCCCTACCCAGCCCTAACTTTAACCATAAGTAACCAAACAAAATACTAGACTTTTAGCATTTTTAGTTTTTTGATTGATCTTTGTGGAGACCCGACAAATTGCGCTTATGTCACGTCAGGGCAATTTTGATGGTATGCATAATAAATAACTTTCTCTTTTAGAATAAACTTTTACAACATAATGATAAATGTACACAGACTGTTACCTTTTACTTTGCTCGTTCGAATTTAGACATAATATTCAGCATATCAGACAAAACAACAAACCTCTTTTTACAAATTTTGAATATCAGTGGTTAAAAATTTAAAGCCAAAATAATGGTACTAAAAATAAAACACAATAGACACGATACAGCAATGAATAATAATGCATTACAGACTGAACCCTTTGCCCTTCGATGGAGAAGTATTAGCCTAAGTATATCATAATACTGAAAGACCTTTTTAACACATACATTTGTACCGTGTTGACGAGGTCTAAAAATGTCACCACCAGTTTTTAAACGCGTATGTTTATGTCAATGCTCCACAGAAACGTGCCGTGTCGTGACGTATGGATGGGAGAAGTACCATATCTAGAAGCAGGTAAATGCCATGTCAAGATACTGCTTGAGAGAGACGGGGTTATACTGCGAATGTTGATTTTTAAATGGGTGGAATGTGACAAATAGACACCATTGAACAAAGATACACTCACCTTGACACATATGTTGGGGTGTTTGTCCACATGAGAAATGTTATAGTTCTGAAAGAGGGAGAAAGCACCAGAGACTTTTCAAAACTGGATTTCTTGAGTTACGACAGTGGATACAGGCCATAAGCACCAACTTACCATTATCACAGGATTGTTGGTGTTCTGTGAATGAAAGACAAGCAAATTCTTATTAGTGTTTATTTACATGTGGAGACCTTGCTGTGTCAAGTAACAGCAGAGAGTTGAGATTTGAAGAATGCTATCGGGCAGGGAATGTATTAACCGCCCAGTTTGGATATGGAGGACAAAATTACTTGCAATGTCACAGGTCCGGGTGCATCTCAGGCAGCATAGGGCGTAAGATTCGGGTATACCTTGGATGGGATTCCAGTCCATCACAGGGTAGACGCAAACACACAGTTTGTATATTTCTATCAGTGTGGGGACTCTCCATTCATTCCTATGTGCAAATCCATAATCATAACCCTGACAACCTTAACCATAAATAACCAAACAAAATACAAGAGTGCTGACATTATTAATTTTTTGATTGCAGTCACAGATTTCTATAAAACTGGGCTTTATATTATGGGGACCTGAACAATGTACCCACAAGCTAAAAAGTAACAGGTTTTACCACATTGTGTTGGTCCCCACAATGTAGTATGCATAAATACAAACCCTGCATAGCTTATATGTGTCATATTCTCTCTACATGCTTTTTTCATCATCTTTGGCTGTTGGCCAGAAAACGCTTCATTGTATGGAGATCATGTCCATGTGTCTGGCAATTTCAAATTATTTTGTATCCCTCTAACAGGCACTTTATTATTTTCTTTTTTATGCACTCTATAAGGTCCTTTTTTGGGGGGGGGATTCTAATAGAAATAATATTTAGCCTAATAATTCTGCAGAGGGAAGTATCCACAGTTTCCTGTTTTGCTTCAAACAGAAAGTACCCAGATAAAATGGTGAGCATGCTGTATTTTTAAACTGTCCATTCTTAACTGGAAAGTCAGCTGGACAGAAAATACTGGTGTGAGGAGAAGATGCAAGTAAAATACATACTTGCCTAATAATTCTGCACTCGATGTATTGTATTCATATATTACATAAAATGTTATCAAAATGTATCCAACCGTTAATGCAAACACATTTAAGGAGGCTTAACATACCATGATTATACCTAAAATTAAGAATCAGTTTCAATAGTGAATAAATAGTATTTATGGTCTAATTGATCTTATTCCATGTATAGCTGGAGTGGGAGATATATATGTTTGATAATAAACATGAATTTCCCTTCAAATTCTAACCATACCTCCATTCATCCTGTCACACCCTGCTCCGTACGATCCTAATGTGTGCCACGCCCACCTCGTTACCT